ACTTTCAATTAAATTTAATAGCACCTACTAGACAGTTAACAGAGCCCCCATCGCGTTACCAAAGAAGACGGTGCCAATTGCCATTAAATCCCATAGTACTCAATACGTTAATTCTTCATTGAGTGTACTTGAATCTCTACAACCCTTTAGAGATTTTAAAACCCTCGATTCAATGTTGTATCGACTTTGTTACCGAAAGGAAGCTACAAATTAGCCAGTTACATTGTTTGATCTACAATCGAGCTCAGGGTATTGATATTCATAGCACCTATGTCATAGCAAGACACAATAAATAATTTAAAATTGTTTTCCTGTTATCGAAGAAAAGTCCAACGTCAAAATTTTTGTTTTATTATAATAACTCGATGTTCCGTTATCAAAATTCTAGCTCTGATATATAACTTTTTGTCTCATTGTCGTAATTTAATTTTATTACCAACATTTTGACTGTAAATATACTCTTCTGAGATGTTTATCTTTTAAATTTCAAACGTTGAAAATCTTGTAGCCACAAATGCAACATTCAGCAACATTAACGCGTGTTTACGATGAAAACGAGAGTCGTCCAGGTGAAAACTTAATTGGGCACGCGGAAAACAATGCTCAGAGACCGTGGAACATCTTGCTGCTCTTGACAATGGACATGTCGGCGTCGTTCGTTTCACTCGGTTTTGCACAACCACACCGCGACACGTTCAATAATCTTCTGTAAACGTGAAAAACGGTCGGACGGCAAGCCACGTTGTCGTGTACCACTGGAAAAGAATTACGACCGCAATCGTTGGTTTATGGTCGGTCATATCGCATTTATGATTGCGAGGCGAAATTTCGGGGACAAAGACAGCGTTGAAGATCAACGTGTAGTTACGTTAATAAAGATTCTTTTCGAATAATTAAATTTCATTCTATTATAATAATTATAGGATTATAATAATATTCTAAATAATCCTAATATACTATAAATATAATAATTACAATATGATTAGAATCCATTTCCGGTGGTAAGTAATCCTCTAGAAATACATTTGTAGGAAATTTTCTTTCATAGTTTTCAAAAATCCGCAGTCTGTTAAAGTTCGATTAAAGGGAACTCGACAAAAATTCAATTAACAAACGAGGACAACTGGCTTCATTTTTACGGCAATCTCACACGTGACTGCGGTCTTTGAAGCCACGAAACAGCGATAAAGAAACTCACTGGAGCTTGACATAGAACAAAAGAAGACTCGTCTTCTATGACTCGCGACCTATGCGTATACGTGTCTTCCTCTTTGAAATTCAGTTTCGTCACGAAGCTCTGGCGAATCACGGAGGGCAAGTGGATCCGGAAAGAAAAGATGGTAACTCTATCTGGAGGATCGGTGACAGTCTCGTCTAGCGAAAGCACAATGGAGACGACGAATGATGTGGGCCCATCGAAACACGCTTTCTACCGCACGAACTTTCCCACAATTCGTTCGCAGTTTTGCCAGTTACTCTCCGTCTCGTCTTCCCCCGTCTGACTGCTCTTTTTCTCTTTAACGAGCGTGCAATTGATTGCACCACGAGCTGTGCACGACAAGTGGACGCTTGTGGCAAACGGCCCCATTCAGGATTTTCTTTTTTTTTTCAGTTACAGTATCGGTAGTGAAGACGTTAAACGCTTGGCGTAATTACCGTCCTTGTTTGAGGCGATTGTAGAAAATTGTGTCTCCCTGTGGAAGAATAGACCCAACGTATTCCCTGCGTGTCGTAAAAGGCGATTAAATAAAAGGGAACCAATAAAACTGGGTTGCGTGCCAAGTGGCGAGTATTGCCTAAAAATAAAGTTTCTTACAAGCATCAGAATTGTTAATTAGAAAATTTTCTGTGTTATAAAGTAGGAAATTTTGTAATCTGTCATTGCTTGAAATATTTTGTACTTCATTTTATTATTACTTAGGAAATTTCATGACTTATCTCTCTTATTATTATCCAAAAGATCGTACGTTTCATTTTGTTATCTGTAATTCTCTTTCTTCTTGCTAGAGAAAGAATTTTCTAATTTACTTTATTATTAACTGGAAAATAACAGTGAACGTACTTTCCTCAATTTTTCTTCAAAGAAGTTCCACCAGACGTTTCACTGTTTGCCAACCATCGATCGCAGGAAATCGCGGACGTATTCTAGGCTGCAGGACGTATTCGAAACCGTAAAAAGGCGAAACGAGGTCGCGTCGACGATGCCTGAAAAATATCCTATTACCCGGTGCTTCCTGACTCGATCGACGATTCACCTTTCGGCACAATGGCCGTCCCCGTCGATTCCTCGTCCATCCGGTTTTCTGTCCGCGTCAACGCGGACAATGCGACGACACGCGCGATAACGCGCCGAATCCGCGGGGGCAAGCGTGGCAATCTCTTTTTCAACGACCCTTTTATCCGTCGATTGCCGGCGAATGAGGGCAGAGAGGGGTCGGGAATCGAGGCAGCAGCCCGGTGATTATGAAAACTGGCTGGGAGGGGTCGTCATTAATCAATGAATGCGCGCCGCGAGCCAATTAACGAGATCGCGAGTGTACGCTGGAATGAGTAAACACGTGCCATTAACTTCACGCTGATGCCGAGTGCCCGATGGGGTAGAGGCGATTCAAGGTATACATTAAACAATTACCCCGAGTATTAGCTTGATAGTGGTAAGTGACGTTGATGGTAGACACGTACGGTAACGTACAGCTTTGCACGTTGATGTCTCTTGACTTTTTATTTTATTCCTCGGGAGAAGGGCATGGGAGGATGATCGGTGCTCGGACAGTTTAAAGCTCGGCATTGACCAACGGGTATATCGTGGTATTGACGAAAGTGTTTGAAGTACAGACAAATTTTCTGTTGCGTTGTGTTTGCGAAACTACACTGTCACGCGACAGTGTATTCGAATATGCAGAATTATACTCGATCGCGTGCCTTTGTTTATTGCACTTGGCGCCTCGAGGATATTTGCCGAAGGACCACCCACTGGTGTGGGATTGAATGACTCGATTAATTAACAGATGATTGTAAGGCTTTATTTGCTTGAATGTGTCAATAGTCTCGCTAATAACTGAACGTGAAGACTGAGTTTGAAGACTGACTGTTGAACTGCTTTTGGCTTTCCACCTCTTAGGATTTTCTTCAGAGGGTCAAAGTTAAGAGCGGGAAACATGTCGAAACCATGAGAAAATACGGGAGGTTACCAGAATTTCTCAATTGATGTATATAGAATGTGAGCGTAAACTTTAATTAGTTCGTGAAAAGTTCCTGAAAGTTTATAGGTCATACATACACGTTGCAACGTCTGACCAATAGGTTTATCGACCTTTAACAAGTCGATAAAGCAACGACATAAGAAATTAAGTAAGGTCAATCTATTAATAGAGAAATCTCCGTTTCTTTCTTTCGAAATTATATATTTTCAACGAAAACAGGATTATTATGGTGGAAAATTGAAAGAATTCAACTTCAAAATGTTTAAAATAGAGTAATTGTAATGATATTTGCGAAATGAAACTAACTTGTATCAAGAGTCTGTTATATTATATAAAATACATCTCCGTCGATATTTCTCCGAGTTAATTTTAATTATTGATAATAAAATAATAATAAATATTAATTTTGTTTGACGTAAACAAACTGTCGTAAAAAATCTGTTATTGCAGAGATATATTTTCTCCAAACGTAGAATTTTTAGAGTAATTTTTTACCAAGAAAGAAGATGAAAATCTGAATAAAATGATTTTCGTCCGTATATTCTTACCAATATGTTCGATCGGATACGTAAACGACTAGGAGCTTACTTGTTCACAGTACTATAAATTATGGCAAATCTAACTGACATAATGCATACGCAGCAGGATTCAGCAGTAGAGAGGAAATCAAATGTGAATTATCGTACACATTATTATGAATGCATATATAAATGTGCGGATAATACCAAAAGATGTATAGAAAACGGGAAACGTGCGACTTGATTCATTCTTGCCTTGCTTTCTAATGAAAATGCGTCTTATTGGTACAGAAAAGTAAGTAAATCTGTTATGCGATGGACTGAACTAAAATAATATGAATGAAAATTGCACTACCTATAAAAGCCGGAAATTATGTGTGAACATATTAAAAACATATTAAAAACATATTACGTGCAATAACTTTTATGTGTACATTATATAAAACTTTTATTTAAAATTACATTACATTATAATGAAACACACTTGATTATACAGGTAAAATTTAAAATTAATTTGAAAATGTATATAGGAGATACAATATATCTATTGCAAATTTAATAAAAAAATTGGTGTAGTATGAATATATTTATTTTAAGCGTACCATATGGGATCTCACTGAATACTAGAAATAATTATTATTAATATAATGGAATTTTTCAAATAGTCCTCTGATATTTATCATTTCTATATATACATTTCTAGATTTGTACAATATTCAAGTTGAATTTTCTATAAATCATTACATAATATAGCTATATTATATAATGTTATATATATATAGTATTATTAATATAACTATATTACTATATAATATTACTATATCATCTAACTACAGTATTCAAAATATTTCACACAACATACGTGATATATACGTAATAAATTTTTACAGATACTCGATTAGTTTCGTGATTAATGTCCATAAATGTGGATAGCCGCGATATCAAAAAACAATGTTCAAAATTCCGTCAAGTCATTAAACTTCAAACGATCGTGTTTTTCCGCCTGCCGAAGATTATCGAACGGCCGTTCGATCGGAGGGCCCGACTCTCGAAAGTCGCGCGCGCATCGATACATCGAATGGGGATGCGCGCGCATCGGGCAGTCAGCCGTTATAAATGGAAAAAAGCTCGCGCGAGTCACGGTGCGAATTTTGTGGAAAACGGGTGGAAAAACGTTCGATGCTCGGGGTCGTGGCACCGTACGAACGGACAAACAAGCAAGGCCAACGTTTACTTCGAAGGGGAAGCGTCGTTCTACGAACGAGACGATACAAACGGCGCGCGAGTGGGGGGGATCGTCGAATCGAACCGAGCGAGAGACGAAGCGAGGGTCGAAGCGAGACGAACGCGGCCCGACAGAGACCGCGACGTGACGAACGCCCGGCAGCAGCGAGGTGCGGGCAGTCTGCGCACGGACATCGATCGAAGCTCACGTTCACATCCACCACCCGAAATTCCCGGTGTTTTCCTTTCGATTCGCCTCGACACGTTCGCGAGCGAGCGAGCGAGGTTACCGTGTTCGGTACCGCGCGATTCGTCGCACGCCGACCCACCGTGCCAGCAAGTCGTGCCTCGGTGCAGTGACACTTGTGCCTTTTGGAGAGAAAAAAGACTGAAATACCACCAAGTGTCCCGGGACACCGGCTCCAACGACCCTGCCAACTACGCCTTTACACCCCGCAGCTAATCGTCGCACGTAACACACATTCACATCGAGCATGGTTCGCGGCTAACCTCACTCTTCACGCCTATCCGTCACCGTCGGTGAGTAACGAACATCAAATTCAATACTCCAAGTAATCCGTAGTTTCGATTTTTGTCGTTTTCGTTGTAATCGTCGTTACGATCGGAATCCTCGCGGTCCGCGTTCTAACACACGTTGCGTTTATAAATAGCCGGTTTCCACGGTTCTGGTTGCTACGATTCCGACCGCGGCGTACAGTTTTGGAATACTCCAGACGTTACGGACACTGTCACGATTGCCCGACTCTCTCTCCGCGAGATGCTAAAATATTTCTAGATCGACTGTGTTGGCTGAAAGTTAAATTTGGAGTACCTTCGTTTCGTCGTAACCTAAGCTAGCGATATAATTCATCCCTCAGTGTGCTACGTAGTTCGTCGAACTGCGTGGTACATCGAGTCGTTCGTCTACGTAGTATTTCGAGCGATTAATTCATCCCTTAAGAACGTAGTCCATCGAATATGCGTAGTACATCGAATCGTTATCTACCTAGCACGTGTATTTCGAGCGGATTTCTATGTACTTGAGCCATTTGCTCGCTTCGGCCGTATCATTGAAATTCCACGAAATGGGGATAATATTTGGCGTACAGTCGTTGACATTGCCCGAAATGTTGTACATATCGTGGCAATACGTACTCTGTTTATCGTTGGAGTGTCGTTCGTTGGGCCAGCGAGCGTTAATCCGCAATGCGTCGCAGCATCGGTGGGTCGCGAAGGATGAACCTTTGGCGTAACCTCTAAAACGATTACAAAATCTGCCCACGGGACATGCTTTCAGCGGCGGGACGATGTTTACGAGCCGCGATACGCGACGGACAATAAAACGACTTCAGTTAACGGCTATTGTCGCGTATGCTGCGCTCGCGCGTGAACGCGAGGGAATAGAGAACGAGAAACGGGCGTAAGGAGATCGAAGTGGCTGAAAATCAAAGGCGCGCGGCGTTCACTCCGTTAATGGAACGAACGGGCCATTGAAGAAGTGGGGAAGATCCGCGAGTACGCCTGGAAACCGCCAGAGAGTTTCCCCGATGCTCGTGATTTACAGGGATTTTAGATTCGCGCGAAAGATAGGCATCGTATTTAGACGCTCCGTGGATTTCTCGTCTTTCACGTGAATGCATTCTCGATGACTTTTGTCTCGACGATGGGTGCACAGTAATTCACGAAAGTGTTGGTATAATTTCTTTCGAATATATCGCGTGTGTTGTACTTCCACATTCTGAAATTTTATTGGCACTGTAACGACAGTGAATTCTACAGAGGATTATTTTAAACGATTCTTGAAACGTGTACAGAAGTCGGAAAATATTTAGTTCTAGGTTACAGTTCATTTTACTAGTGTTTATCAATGTAATTTTGTATCTATTATTTTGATGTTTTTTGGAAGTATATATATATTCTATTATTTCAACAGAATATTTAGCATTAGATATCTTTTCTTGTACTAAACTATATATATATAGTTTAGTAGTATAGTATAGTGTATATATATATATATATATATATATATATATATATATATATATATATATACATTCTATTATTTCAACAGAATATTTTGCATTAGATACCTTTTCTTGTACTAAACTATATATATATATATATATATATATATATATATATATATATATATATGTATAATATTTTTATATGTATAATAATAAAACAGTAACAACGCGTATGAAATAGTTTAGTACAAGAAAAGATATCTAATGCTAAATATTCTGTTAAAATAATAGAATGTCCGAGAAATGTTGGAAATATTAAGGACAGAATCAAAGATTCACATTTTGAAAGATATCGATTCTTTGTACATTTTGAGAAAAAGAGTATTCATGTTTCTTCGTGGAAGTCGGATATTAAGCAGGCATTAATAAATTACGAAGCAGGCATTCCATTCAGGATTTTTCAACTATAAATATTATCGTTACTTGGAACTGGTTTATTTCTTGTTTTCAATATCGATACGCATGATTTATATTTCGAAACTTGCTCGTGGTATCTTTCAGTTCCAAACAATTCGCGCAGCTGAAGCTGAATTCGGCACTGTTCGTTTAAATTTAAATGTTGGCACATCCAAATTATTGCTTTTTTATGGAACAGTAGTCAAAAGAACTCTTCAACACGATAAATATTCAACATAGCCCGGGTTCGAGCTTCGCTTCATTTATTTGCGTCGGTCAGAAAGTGAAATTTTGTTTGCTCCATCCGACTCCCGACCTCTAACGCGTCGAACAAACGTGTACAACACTCGTGCATATATGTACGTACGTACAGATCGATCGTTAGCGAATATTTTCTCAATGGAAAATATTTGTACAAATATCGAACGTGCGCAGCTGACTCGAACTAATTGGACTGTGTCCGGCTTAATCCACGATCCCAAATATATAACATAAAGAACCGTGAAAGCGGCCGATTCACTTTTCCTTATCTTGACGGTTGCTCCACTTTGAGAATCTCGATGCACGTTTGAAAACGACAGTCCTCGCGTATTTCCATATTCGTCGTCCTTTCTCTCGTCCAATTAAATTACAAAAGCGGCCGTTCCTTAAGAAGGAATTACCTTCGCGTCGAACGAATTCCCCTTCTTAAATTGAACAACTTCATTTTTCCATCCGACGATCGAATTCCTGATTACGCGAGGTTGCATCTTCCAATTTGAAGGCACTGTGACCAAAAAGCGAGCAAATATGAATATAAAGCCGAACGATTTGCACTTTATCGTCAGACTGTGGATTTTTATATATCTATGGGAAAGTACAATATTGTATAGAGTACATGCAATACTCTTTTGTGAGAAAATATAGTTATAAAATGCTTTTATAAGTTTTTACTTTTTATAATTAACGTTAAAACTACCAAAGTCGATTCCTAATTTTTCATAAAAATTTTATAGATGTCCACGATCGTATTTTTAGAAATTTTAATAATGAAATAAATATTAAGTTCATTACTGTACTGTAATTTCTAGTTATCGCTAGTGTCAACATCAATGCATTTTCTATCTAAATGTATATGTAGGTTAAGTTTGAGTTTAATTTAATTACCTTCATAAAAGTATAAAAATACGCAGTCCATTTATTATATTTATTATATTACGTTCCAATATTATATTTTGTATATTTATTTATCACACATATTGTAATCTGCAGTTTGAAAATTTTATTTTTATCTCTTTTACTATTGCATCGCATTAGTTCACCACATTATGCAAATTTCAAATGATTTACTTACTAATAATTACTAGTCCTTCGGTTTTAAATATCAGCAAACAGCTATAATCTCTCGCAAGTAAACGAAATGTCGCGTGTAGAGAATAAAGTCGACCGTAAAACCGAAATCATCGTCACAATGATAAGACACAACGAGCAAACAAAGAATAAGATCTAAAGGAAGCGAACGTATGAAACTTGCGTAAGAGAAAAACTCTGTCACAAGCTCTCACGAACATCGTGCTAGAGGATGCGCGATCGAATTTCGCCAGGAGTTCGAAACAATTTCCACGAGCTGTTTATTGGACAAAGTGTCCGTTGTTTCTGGTTAACGTCGTTTCTGATATGAAATTGCCACTGAGCTTGTACACCCAGTACACACGTACTCCGGTACATAACGATCATTTGGTGCGATATTTCAAAGGTAGCGAAACAGTTTTCGCTCGCTTTCCAAATATTTCCACGGCTGGGTACGTGGGATTACCGTTGTTCCCGTATCTGGCTGGCTCGGTCTTTTATTGCCTTTTCATCTTCACCCTATGGAACCCGAAAGTCACGCGAAACATGCCGAAATGTTTATGGAGCGGCGATTAAGGCGGCACGATATCATTCCCGTGATTTACGCGTCGCGTCGTGTTTGCGCTTGTTCAACCAACAGACCCGAAATCTCGTTTGGCCTGTGTATCCTGGTTGCAAAGAGATTACTTTCATTTGCTGCCTCGTTGCGTAATCGAGTGAGTCTTCTTGATGCGCGCTCGGGGTGTCTCCGAGTACGGGAGATAACGTTAGCTTGGAACCCGAGCTGGAATATAATTTGGAGTTGGGGAGTAATAATGTTGTACTTAGACCACAGACGTTTACGCATTTCTGTGAAATTTAAGGAATGAAAAATCTACGCGTGGTATTTGACAGAAATATGTAAAACATTCAAAAGTAGAATACTTGTAATTAGAATGTGGATTTTGTGCATTTTTAAATTTTTATGAACGTCACTGAAAATGTAGAATCTAGAAAAAAAATTGTTTTACACAATATGTATTATAATATACTTTACTTTGAATATTTTATATAGGTATTTTTGTATTTGCAACTTCCAATCATTCATAAATGTATAAAATCCACACTTATAATAATATATTTTGTAATGTATAGTCAACTACTGTAGTCTAGTATTTTTGTTGTATAGTCAACTACAGTAGTCTAGTATTTTTGTTCATCAGTCTTTTGTGTATAGTCAACTACAGTAGTCTAGTATTTTTTGTTGACTGGAGATAAGTTTCATTTGTCTATTATACGAACGAAAAATAATATGTAGATAGTGTAGATGATAGACGCGAGTAGATATAGATAGTAATTTAATCTCTAATTAGAGTTCATGTAAGAGAAACTAAATTTTTTTGAAATCGCGTTAACGACTCTAATATTATAATTGCTTATCTGCCGAGCAGTTTGAATAAATGAAATTCTATTGCTATTTCAATGATATAACATCCATAATAAGGCAACTTATTTACAACAAAGATAGCATGAGAGATACAGAGTAGAAGAGAAAATTCACTATCACTCGTTGATAAAGAATACATTGAACTTTAGTTTATCGAATTAATTTATCAAATTAATTTAGTACAGTTACCACAGAAACAATTTAATTGTCAATTGCGCTAATTGGTAAATGAATTTTATTATTTTCATATTTTATTTCAAATGTCAGGAAGTGACATAGTAACCTTTGTCTTAATAGTATTTCAAAAGGAGAATCTTACGGCTTCGTTAGAGAAGCAAAGCAAACAGATGATTTCTTCTGAT